AAAGGGGCAGGAAGAAAAAAAGATAAATAAATAAAAGGGGTTTAAAAAGAAAATCTGAAAGCTTTCAGATTTCATATTATGCCTAAACGTGTGATTTTTATTTACAGACACATACATTAAGATAAAATAACATGCCAAACAAATATTAATTCAAACAACAGAAATCAGCATTATATTTGCAAATTTTCACAGGATGGTTTTACTGAAACATCAGCCTCAGTTGCCAAAGTGCAAATGAATGAAATAAGATATAGCAATTAGATAACAAAAGATATGAAAGGCTGGACATGAGTTAAGCTATTGGTGCCATCTATTGATGAAACAAAAACTAAAACATAATTTCCTTAAAGGCTGATGGCAAAGATGGATTGGAATTAGGGTCATTAACTAGAACAGAAAAATTTTTTTGAATGTGAAATGCCTTTCAAAAATCTGATTCACCAATGGAAGATGTTTTTGGAATACTTTTGGCTTCAGAAAAATTGAAAATGTGATTTTCGGATCAACAATGCTGGGCAACAGAGGACTTCTGTGTTTTCTTTTTTTTTTTTAACATATGCCTCATGTTCCTTAACGTGAAATTTTAAGGCTCTCTTAGTTTGGCCAATGCTAATTAAACCACATTGACAAGGAATCCTGTAAATACCTCAGGATTTCATATCCAGATGGGGTCCTTGAGTATGGAACTCGGAATTTTATTGATAGGAGAATAAACAACATGAAAGTTAAATCTCTGCAAAATATTTGCAATTTTATAGCTAATTGATGGAAAGAAAGGAATGACAACAGAATTCTTATAATCTTCGAAAACACGAGTGTGCCTTTTGGTGTGTTGAGATGAGAATTTGTTAACTGCTTAATTAATAATGCTGTGTGAAAAAACCCTGTCAATAGCTACTGTTTTTAAATAATTTAGGTCTTGATCAAGAGCCAGTTTGGAAGAGCAAATGCGCAGAAAACATAGGAAAAAAATGAAGCTAACTTTTGTTTAGTGGGATGACATGATTTGAAGTGTGGCGGAAGGCAAACTGATGAAGGTTTACGGTAAACTGTAGTACTGAAGTTGGATATGTTACGTGTGACCAAAATGTCGAGGAATGGAAGAAAATTGCATGTCTTAACTTCAAAAGTGAATTGAATAGCAGGATCAATAGAATTCATTGTTGAAAGAAATTTGCTTAAATCATCTTTATTACCGTCAAACAGGGTCTATGTAGCAGAGCCATACCGGAAAGTTTAAAGTTTCAAATAATTTTAATTCATAATAATGCATGTAGATATCAGCCAGGATGGGACTAAAGGGGTTTCCAATGGCTAATCCGTCAGTTTGCTTGTAATACTTATTGCTTATTATTATACAGTCAAAAGTCGTTAATCCGGACTTCGGCGATTCCAGATTATCGATTTTTCAGGATTATAGATCATCAGTTTAAATCTGGTAAGATGGCATGCAGAAATTCCAAAATTAAAAATATGAAACCGTAATTTATGAAATAAAGAACAATTATGATCCAAAGGGTATCAAAATTTACAAAAAGAAAAAGCTTAATATTTTATTTGTTTACTTTATTAACATTTCATTTCTTTCAATGTAAGTTGTTTTCGTTTCATGTGATAATACTTTCTCTTTAATTCTATTAAACATTAAACAGACATAATTTCTTGTTTAGTTACAAAGTTCCGCTGTTCAAGTCAAGTCCTATAATTGCTGCGTTGAGAATACCGACTAATTTGTCAATCGAAATTTTTTTCGTTTTCAATAACTTGTGTGTTACTTTCTTCACTACCAGAAGCAAATTATAATGACAAGGAACTTGATTTAAATCATATCAAAGACGGAGTACATCGAGCTGAAATACTACATTTAGTAAGGAATTATAAGCCAAATAAAATAAAAAACATCTGCCCTGAAGATAAGGATAGTGCTGACAGATCAACTTCCAATTCATTACGTGCCACGGCGTCCCCCCCCCACCGAAGCGTGAAATTGATAAACAGATTTTGGATTTCGAAACATACTTTCGCTTTGTAGATCCTTTACATATTAGTAAATATATATCGGAAATTCTATTTGACATAATCGAAAGTTCAAGCTTACTTTTATAAAATTGCTCTAACAGTCTGCAAAAAATAACAAGCCGGATCCAATTCGAAGATTAAGGAACAACGCAATCTGCAACATTAACTGAATTAGATAATTATAGCTTAGCTTATACCGTCCGTTATACATTAAACGCACATGTGTAAACATATTTTGCGCATGCACACACGCAGCCGTAAATGTCTTACGCGCATGCGTCAATGTGACGCATACGCAGAAAGTTTGTAGATTTGAGGTCCGAATTATAGATCATTCCGCATTATGGGTGTCCGAAATAACGACTTTTGACTGTACTTGTTTGTACATTTGATAGTATCAAACTTTCTTGATTGACACTGCAATATGCAAGTACTGCAAATGTTCTCTTTAGTGATTTTGGAGAAATATATGCTAATCTTGCAGGCATTATACACTCATGTCCATAAATTAAAAATAATTCGGAGTCACGCGCAAATCGAACTCTAAAATAAATATATCACCTGTAAAATCACTACACACATCTTCAAGAATCATATGCAAATTTCAGGAAGTAACCAGATGACACCGATGGTACGTCACAATGACAAGAGTGTAAGAGAGTGATATATAAGGAAGACAGGCAAAGAAATAAAATTGTTCACAGGCGCTTTATAATCATTTCAGTGCAATAACCGAATAGTTATGACACAAAGGACGCATTGAGATAATTTTTTACGTGGTAGAATTATCAGCCTTCTGGAATGTGGGCGTACCCAACTGGAAGTATCAGACGAACTTGTAATTGCCCAGAGTGTCATCTCCAGGCTTTGGCAACGATTCCAGGATGATGGTAATGTGAGTAGACGTTACAGCACAGGTCGCCCCAGAGTTACAACGCCGAATGAGAACCGGTATTTGGCAGTTACTGCCAAAAGAACAGGCGGAGCACAGCCTCAGACCTGTCTCGTCAGCTCTCTTCAGCCATTGGTAAGACAATTTCGAGGCAGACCGTGTACAGACGCTTAGGGCAGATTGGTCTATATACTCGTAGACCTATCAGATGCGTTCCACTTACTGCAACTCACTGTCGCCTGCAGTTAGCTTGGAGTAGAGAGCATGTATTGTGGACATTGCAACAGTGGGCTTGTGTGATGTTTTCCGACGAGTCCAGGTTTAGCTAGCAGTCTGATTCTCTCCGGACTTTCATATGGAGAGCTCCAGGTACCCGTTACCACCAAGGAAAACATCATTGAACGACACTGTTACGGTGGTGCAGGAGTGCTCGTTTAGGGTGGAATTATTCTGGGTTCCAGAACTGACCTGCATGTTCAAATTGGAACCATGACAAGCCAAATCTATCGGGACATCATTCTGGAACAACATGTACGTTTGTTTCGGGGTGCCATGGGCGCACAATTTGTGTTTATGGATGACAACACCCGTCCTCACCGTGCAAACATCGTAAGCGAATGCCTTCAATCAGAGGATATCACCCGTATGGACTGGCTAGCGTACTCACCGGACTTGAATCCAGTAAAGCACGCGTGGGATATGCTTGGCCAACGAGTTGTAGCCCGTCAACCTCCTCCTACATGTCTACCGGAACTTAGGAGAGCATTGCTTTTTGAGTGGTATAATATCCCCCAAGATCAGATTGATAATTTGATACTCAGTATGCCTAGGCGTTGTACGGACTGTATTGCATCGTCTGGGAGACATACAATGTATTAACAATCATACCAACCATGTAATTTTGGGGTTTTTTTGTAAATAGGTTTTTTTTTTTTTTTTTTTTTTTTTTTTTTTTTTTTTTTTTTTTTGTAATTTACTCCAGGGAGAAAAAATCGCTAATTTTTTTAATAATATCAAACATATAGCATCTTTTTTTGCTCTTTACCTTTTGTTTAATAAATAAGCTTTACAAAAAGTCAAATTTGTTTTGCTTCTAACTATTCCTTTGCTTTATTTTGCATTATCCTTAATTTATGGACATGAGTGTATTATAATTTCTTTCACTCTTAGGCAAACTTCAAACGCGAATATTTTAAAAATGAGTTTTAGACAAAATATATCAAAATTTTTCTAGCAAACCTCTTCAGTACTTAGATATTATATCCCAACCATCGAACCACGAAAGCTGGTGGAGATCTTCCTAAATATTCATAAGAAATTCTGATGGAACCCATGCCTCATTATTTAATAAACAATCAGCATTTGACGCACTGTGTTTATGAGCTTTATAACAAAGGTTTTCCCAATTTTTGTTGTTTTTTAAGGACTTGTAATTTTACCAATATTTTATGCATAGAATGCAATGAGTACAAGCTTTCTGTTGGTAACTGTCATAATCTTACTCTTTTACAAGCCATATTCAGCTGATCATATCGTGTCCATTATTACACAGTTTTTTTATGGCAAAATCCATGACTTTGAAAGTAATCCACTGTTTACTTTTCTGTAGAAGGTAGGTGCCAAATATTACTAATTTCTTTCAAAATGCAAGAAAAAATAAAGCAGTAACAGTTAATTCATATCCTTGTTCAATGAACAGAAAATCAGGCTTATTAAGAATCAATAATGTTTATATTAGACGAAAGTATAGATGTTATGAGAGTGTCGTTACATCATGCTTAACCGTAACTGATGCGACCAAGATGTGTGCGGTATGAAAATGGATTGGCTTTTACCCTGTATATCCAACAAACATATGGGAATTTTATAGAATGAGGAAACCAGAAATGTATGTAATCAGAAAATATTCTAATTTTCATTAGTTATCCATATATAGAATTGCCTCCACCCTGTTTAAATTTGTATAAATAGAGTTGACCTAAATAAATATATAAACTTCTATTTAAGCTGCAAAATTTGTTTTAGTGCATATAAAATTCATGAATTTTTGAGATAAAAAAATTTGCAGAAGCTAAAATATAAATCTTACTTTGAATCGGAAAACACTTTAAGCACAGCTATTATACTATCACTGGAAAAAAGGTACCATAGTAAAGGATAGATAGTTAACATGGTCATTATGCTGCTAAAGTATAATGTCGCTACATATGCCCTATATAAAAAAAGAAAGCATAATTAATTGATAAAATTATTTAAAATAGAAAAAAATATGAAAAGTTGAAAAAAAAAACTGTAATAACTCTGACATGAAAAGTTCCATTATTTTACTTCCACGTTCATATAAAGACTTTCTTTTTGGGGGAAGGGGATGAGGAAGGAGGAAAAAGAATTAAGACAATAAAAAATTAAGAACTTGGAAATAAAATATGAAGATCAGGCCCGGCTGCAGAATTTTCTATGCCTTACGTAAACAGTATTATTTCTTCTTCCTATAAATTTAATAATTCACAGCAAAATATATCTATACTTAATTGTTGCTGATTCAAGATATTAGCTGTTCTTCCAACATCAGTATGCTAGACGGGGTCACTTATGCTCGGAGCCAGACTTGACAAAAGTGATATATTAAAAGGCAAAAACAGAAGTTTCAGAACAAACACCTTTTTCTGCCTGATCTTGATCTTGCCGAGAAGTAAGTTCTGGATTTTATCATATAACATTTTGGTAATTCATAATATGAATTCATAATTTATTGCACATATAAGTAATGAATAATATAATGTTAATCAGCTTCTATAATTTAAATCAATTTTAATAGTTATATAATTTGAATTGCATGTTCCTTTACCCTTTTTGTCCTGCACGATACTTGTTTCATGTTTTAGATAATGAATAGTGCTAAATAATTAATGTTTTAACCCTATAAATGAGTAATATTTGTTTGAAAAAAATTATCTAGTCTCTCTTCACAAGGGGCCATCTTCATGGTGTGAACATCGGTGCATCTAGGGCATCGAAAATATTGTTAATACAAGGAAAACAATGTATCATTGAGGCATGTACATTTAATAAATTACTCTAAATTGTATAGAACCTTAAGCTCTACTAATTATGCTTTCTCTTTTATTAAAAAAAAAAGAAAGCTCTACTAAAGATAATCTTTCACAAAAAAAAGTATTATTAAATATTCCATTAAAAACTGCTATTTAAAAATGTAATATTCCTCTAATTTTTTACATTACACAACCATATAAAATAATGTAACACACTTTATAGAATTAAGACACTTATACCATTTTTACATAGTATGTGATTAGTATACACTGATACAAATAATGAGATCCATAATCAACAGCAAACTTAAGAGAAAAACCAGGCCAATAAGAACACAGTATGCAATAATAAAAAATGGAGAACATATGATTTATAACAATGTGGTAATAAAAAGAATTATCCATAACATGGATTCCAATATTAAAAATGACTTCGAATTGGAAATTTTTTATCCATTTTACTTATTTTTTGCGCATATCATGCAGTTTGCCACTGTGCTTCCTTTTTTTTTTTTTTTTTTTTTTTTTGTACGGTTTGTTCCAAATTACCTGGGATGGATTTTAAACATACTTTTAATTTATTTTGCATTATTATTACCATTTGTTACTCTCAGCACATAACACGATTAGGTTTTGAATCGCTTTTGGTTAGAGTAGAATTAAGGTTGCCGCTTAGATTATTGCTAAGTTGTTGTTTCCTTTGTCGCCAAGTTGTTGTTTCATTTATGGTAACCTGAGTAGTTGAATGCTATGGAAACCCTATTATGATATAATTGGTTGCATGATTGAGGTGAATTTTAATGATGTGAAAAAATTAAGGGCTTGTTTGTGTGTTAGATGTTGCATAGGAAGTATGGTGGTTATTTTGTAGTTTGCACGGTAAAATCGCTGAATGTGATAAGATTAATTTGAAGTTTCTGCATGATTTGGAATGAAAGGGGAAAAAGCATTAATTGACTGGTGTGTAGATAAAGGTTTACTTAGTAGCCATTATAAGTCTTGTTTGTAGGAAGGAAATGCGTATAGTCGAATATCGGAGGATACCGGCACTATAAAGGATATTTTTGTGAATTTATGTGGCGACACCTATATACAGATTCTAGTTCAGATAATTTTAGAAAGTTTTTTAATGCTGTTACGGAATTTTGTTTGACTGAAGACACAGAAATTTGTAAATAAGGTAAGTGGATATTTCCTTTGTGTAGTGCTAAGATAAATTTCCCTTTCCATGTTATTTCATTGTTTGATTTAAAATGCAGTTCATTGAGATTATATTATTCAAGGGAGAGCGCAATGCCTAGTTTATTAATTCTCTGATTATTTTTTAAGTGAAAATAGGTCGACGTGTACATGGATACCGAGTTTAAGCAATTCTTTGACTTGCTATTTTTGATTTGTGTGGCGCCGATTTTTGGCACAAAATTTGGCGCTAAACAAAGCCAAAATAACAAGTCAAAGAATTGCACAAACTCGGTGTCCATGTACCACCAAAAATCGCCAATTATTGCCAAGGTACACCTGTAAATATATTTTTACTCCACTTTTTACTTGTATTAATTTTTATATACACATAAAGAGACAGACAGATATAATAAGAATATAAACAAAGAATTACATAAAGAAAATCAATATAAACATTAGGAAAAATTAGGCAAACTTACTCAAACACTGGAGCACCAAAAAGTACACATACTATGTAATAGACAATTACACTAACAGCCAGAATAAAAATGCTTTTTAGAATTGAAAATTCCTGAAAACAGAACAGAGAAATAATTCACAAAATATTTAAAATTCTTCTAATGATAATTATTAAGTTAACAACAGTACAGTGAAACCTTAGACTACAAACACCTCAACCAATGAACAAATTATCTGAAAATTGTGTCAGATTATGAATGGTGTCTTGAGTTGCAAACATTCAAGTCTGTAACATATGATTTTTCAAAGGTTCTTTGAGATAACCTTTGCCTCATAATTAACATTCAGGGACTTTCAAAAACATCACTTTACTATTGGGAATACAAATAAGTTTCTGCCGTTTGCAAAAAATGGCACCACCAGTAAGTTATGGTTAAAATTGTTTGATGTAAAACGTTATATCGTATGGTTGGACATATGCTAACAAAATAATGATTAATATTAGTTAGGTTAGAAAGAAATATTAGCGATTTTGTACCATCACTATATTTTTTGTGCGAAAATGTCAAATTTTGAGCTGAAAGAGTGTCATTTGCAGGAACTTTTGATTTACTTCTTTAATTTAAAGAAATCTTCTGTTGAGGTGCATCAGTTGCTTGTAGAGCATAATCACCTTATCTGGTGACTGTATAAAGTGAGAGAAGTTGTCGTGAGTGGTTTCAAAAGTTAAAGAATGATAATTTGACGTTGGTGACAAAGAATGTAGCACAAGGATAGAAGTGTATGAAGAGGCAGAATTGGAAGCTATTGGATGATGATTCATGCCAAACACAAGCAGAACTTTTACTTTACTTTCACACTAGGAGTGACTCAACAAGCAATTTCACATCGTTTAAAATCATTGTGAATGATTCAAAAGCAAGGAAACTGAGTTCCATATGAACTGAAGCTGAGAAATATTGAACGCTGATTTTTACACATGGAATGCTGCTTTTTCAGGCATAAATAAAAAGGTTTTTCCATCATATAGTCTTCTGTGATGAAAAATGGATTCATTTTGATACCCAAGAGAAGAAAAAATTATGAGGACTATCAACATTGAAAACCAAGTCGAATATTCATAGAAAAAAAAAAAAAAAATCATGTTCAGTATATGGTGGGATTAGCTTGGTGTCAGGTTTTAGGAGTCGCTCAAGCTGAAGGAAACCATTACCTAAGGCTCTCTACCAAACATGATTAATGATATTGAGTGGATCATTCAAAGAAAAATGTACTTATTACTATTCCAGACACGACAAAATTATTCTCTTACATGCTAACGTTTATCCACATGTTGCGGCACCAGTCAAAACCCATTCAAAAATACACAAATGAGAAGTTTGCATCCTCTTGCTGTATTAACCAGACATTTTTCCTTCTGATTATTACTTGTTCCAATTGATAACGCATGGCCTATCTATAATCTAAACAGTGCTTCACATCATATGAAGACAGCAAAATTGGGTTGCTTTCTGGATAGCCTCGAAAGATAAAGTGTTCTTCCGACACAGTATTTGTATGCTGCAGAAATATGGGGAAAATTAGTGGGATAGCGATGGATAATATTTTGAATAAAACATAACATACTGTTCTTTCACAATAAATGTCCAAATTTTGATATAGAAATGGCAGAGACTCATCTGTACTCCCAATACTACTTTACATTGCTTCACTCTTATAAACAAAGCCTGGTAGCAAATCATCTACAGGACAAAGAATTTGTCTTGGAGAAACATATGGCCAGATTGAATTGCAAACAGACTTTAAGACATAGGCAATAATAAATCAGACTAGGCAAATTTCATCTCATGCAGAATTCAGTAGTACTTAGAGACCAAAAAAAGATAAAAGAAGGTATCCTAAAGACTGTAACCTGATAGAAAGAAAATTCTCATCCAAACAGGAACATCTGCTTCATCATTGCTTACTTATACCATACATTTTCCTTCATAAAGATACAGTAAAATTAATTTTTAATCTGTTTAACAAATGTTTATCTTTTTTGTTTTTATAACTTAATTACTTTAATTAATTTTAGCTATGAACTTATGCAAGAAGTACTGCTATAAAATTTTTAATAAAAAATCATCTGTGGTCCTGGAATACATTAATTTCTGTAGGGAAAATTTATGATCATTTCAGATGACAAAAGGCCTTCAGGAATGAATAAAATTTGTGAACTATGGTTTCACTGTATTGAAAACATAGAAGCTAAAACCATAAACAGAAAAAGAACTTATATAGAATATGGTATTTCAAAATGTTATCACTCTAAAAAATAATAAAAGGATTAAAGATAAAGAATAATACGGCTGGAATATTAAACAAAAATTTAGTAACTTGAACTTTAGTTAATTGCATTAAAAAAAGGCAAGGGAAAACTACTTACTCGATTAAAATTATACAGCAAAATGAAGTGGAAAGGAAAGGAAGTCTAAACTATAAGCTAAGGGGGGAAATGCTTTTTTCATGCCTCTTCTATTTCAGTGATTAATATTTAAATAACACAGTACAAAGTCTTTAATCCGGACGTCCATAATGCGGAACGATCTATAATCTGGACCTCAAAGCTACAAACTTTCTGTGTTTGCGTTTACACATGCGCATAATACATTTACGCATGCGCATTTAATGTACAACGGACGGTATAAGCTAGACTAAAATTATCTAAGTATCTATTTCAGTTAATGTTGTAGATTGCATTGTTCCTTAATCTTCTAATTGGATCCGGCTTATTATTTTTTGCAGACTGTTAGAGAAAATTTATCGAAAGTAAGCTTGAACTTTTGATTATGTCAAAAAGAGTTTCCGATTCTGGAGCTGCCAAAGGATCTACAAAGCAAAAGCATGTTTCGATGTCCATCAAACAAAAAGTGGATTGCAAAAAATGGATAAAGGCATGAAGAAAGTGACGGAGAGGTTAGTGAAAACGAAACAAATTTGATTGACAAGTTAGTCGGTATTCTCAGCACAGCAATTATAGGACTTAAACAGTGGTACTTTGTCTGAACAAGAAATTATGTCTGTTTATAGAATTAAAGAGAAAGTATTAGCACATAAAACGAAGCAACTTAAACAACTTACATTGAAAGAAATGTTTAATAAAGTAAACAAATAAATATGAAGCTTTTTTTTTTTTTTTTTTTTTTTTTTTGTAAATTTTGATACCCTTTAGATCATAATTGCTCTTTATTTCATAAATTACGGTTTCATATTTTAAATTTTATAATTTCTGCATTCCATCTTCCGGAAAAACCCCTAATCTGGAATACCCGAAGTCCTGGCGAGTCCGGATTAAAAACTTTGTACTGTATTTAATACTAGTGATAATATTAAGCAATGATAATAAACATTTAGATAGTCTTACACTTTCAAAAACATTCATATAGTTACTATTTCTAACAATGGAAATTATCAATTTAATATCTAAAATACACTGGTTATCATAAATTAAGGAAAAATCACAAAAATCACAATTACTGAAAATGTTACATATAGAATTTAATGAAACTTACCCACAATATACAACACATAGTAAGGTATCAAATAACATCAAAAGAAATTACCAGACAAATATGGTAGTGTAGGAATTAGCACATGTATAAAATGAACAAATCGAAGGTGTCAGTTTGCTATAGGAAAAATACCTTCAATATGGAATATGATCGCTTCTAGAAGCAATACAGCACATACAGCGATGTATGATGCTTTCAATTATGTGGTCTATCAGTTCCATAGGAAGCGAGAGCCATTGCTCTTGCAAAGCAGTTGCAAGCGCGACAAGGGTTTTTGAGGGGGCAGATTGAGAGCTGCTAGACGTCTCCCTAAAGCATCCCAAACGTGCTCGATAGGATTCAAATCAAGGGATCGAGCTGGCCACTCCATGCGCATAATTGTTTCCTATTGAAGATAATCATCTATGATGCGAGCCCTGTGTGGTCTTGCGTTGTCGTCCTGTAACAGGAAAGCATCACCTATTGCCCCGGCATATGGGCGCACATAAACATCAAGGATGTCATCTCTATAAATCTGAGCATTCACGGTTTCCCTTGGAAAGACATGGAGGTCTGTGCGTCCACCCAAAGAGATGCCACCCCAAACACAGACACTGCCCCTTCCGTATGCATCTCTTTCACAGATGTTTGACGGATGATAATGGGTTCTAGGTTCTCTCCATATCAAATAATGCCTATTATCGCTTTCTAGACTAAACCTGGACTTATCCGTAAAGAGAACCGCCCTCCATTGATTCGGCATCCAGTGGACATTTGTCATGCCCACTGAAAACGATCTCTCCTATGGCGTGACGTGAGCAGCACACAAATGGCTGGTCGCCTTGCATACAGACCACCTTTGTGAAGCCTTCTACGCACAGTTGACGTTGACACAAACCTTCTGGTGGCTGTAGCAAGGGAGGATCTAAGAAGAGTTGGAGTAGCAGTTCTATTCCTGTGTGCACATAATGTCAAATATCGGTCATCGGCGCTCGTCGTAGAAGTTGGCTGTCTTTGGCTGAAGCTCCTAGATGCCGAATTTGTGGTTTGAAATTGCCTCCAAAGTCTAAGAACCACAGAAGGACTCACATTTAGCCATCTGGCCACTTCTGTTTGACTTTGTCCTGCCTCTAGTCTCCCAATGGCTCTCCATCACACTTCTGCACGCAAATGATACCTGGAGGTCATTGTTACAAATTGGCTATCTCAGATTTCTGATGTCACTGTCACAGTGAAATATGTGGGCTTGCTCTCAAACATGGACTTTTATGCTCCTCGCAGATGATGTATTCCAAAAGCAGCGCAACTAATATCTCAGTTTTACTCAGCTACTCTTACTTGGCAACATATTCAAATTTTACATGGTTTGGCTTATTTTTGAGGGAGTTATCGCTATTTTTGTGATTTTTCCTTAATTTATGAAAACCAGTGTATTTTATAATATTCAAATACAATTTTTTTCTTTATGATTTTTAACATTAACGCAAGGGCTTCATTTCTAAAATCGTAAGTGTCACAGCCCTTTAGAAGGTCATCAAGAGGAAACAATAATAAAATTAATTAAACTAACAATTAAATA